GGTACTGGAAAGTGCAAGTTACCGTCCACGCCCCCTAGCACCGGCTTAAGCAGAATTCAACATTTAAACATGAAATAGTAAAATTTTGAATTTAGAAACATCCGCAGATGTGTTCATACGGCGGTTATCATGGAACCTTCAATGTGACACTTTCATGCCATGCCATGAAAAGCGGCGTATGGTCCCCAAGTAATAAAAAGAGTGTGCCCTAAACGAGAAAACAATGGGCGGAACTAAATAAAATGGAATTTTGAAAGGGGATCAGAGGTTATGAAGCCTGCGTATCACAGATAAGACGTCAAAAGACAAATTTAGAAAGCAGGCAACATATCCTAAGGGTGATTCCTTCTTGGCTCCTTGCCAGCAGTTCTTGTTGCTGGGTCGTGTGGGGGTTGCATTCGTGAAACGCCGCCTTTCCTTGTGAATCTTGTTTATCATATTTGATAAAGTACATTCTTTTATTTGTAATACAAAGACTTTACATATCGTAGTAAAGCATATATTAGTCATGTCAAACGTTTACAGAAATTCAATTAATCTTAAGGAGATATTAAATGAACAGCCTTTATCAATATTTCCCTTTGAAATTAATTTTTTGGATCTTTGCAATACATTGATCAGTGTACTTTTATGTACACTAAATTTGTGTCTTGTCACTTTTATAATGTATTACGCCTTTTGGACAATAGTATGGTAAAAATGGTACTCGATTGAGTTTAAAACTCATTTTAGTGTAGAACAAATTTGAGCTTTGACACGGTTAACAGGTTGACTATTTCGATTTGTCATTTATGACCAAATATTCTTCTTGCTCTAGAAATAAAAATAAAATAAAACTTATTACTATAATGACATGCTTAATACCGTGTAACTAAATGTTTATAACAGTTTGGTACAAGAAAAAAACATATATTTTGAATAATGAACTTGGCTTTGTTAACAGTTGAATGTATATGCAACATGGTAATGTACGGCAAAACTAATCAGTGAATTGCTGTAACTGTCGAACATTAGTTGCTAACGTAATTGAATTATGACATTATTGACTTTCTCTCGAGATCATTTAACAAGGAAACTGGGGTAAATGATGCAAAAAACTGTCATATCAAACATATTTTGTGGATGACATATAAAAGTGGAAGAAGAAATTCAAAGAATACATTTTTGTAACTAAACAGAGTTATCTAGGATATTTCATATTTCATTTGGGAAAAAATAATTAATATTTCATTATATCATTATCATTTTTTAATCAAAATGTTTAAACTACTTCATCAATATTTTCCCGGGTAAGTTCCGGCAGTTGTTTGACCTCTTGGTATTGTATCATCTTGAAATATGTCTAAAAGTTTACAAAACGACAAGTAAATTGTAACAAAACACTTGACACTTTATGATAGGCTGCCCAAACCAAAAATGTGTCTACACACAAACAGCAAGTATGTTTAGCAATATATTTAACCATGCTATACGTAGAAATTAAACTTGCAACATAATAAAGCCTAATTTCTAGTCAGAGATCTGTTTTCATGTAAACAATAATGATCAAGTTTCTTGTTATTCTCTGTTTGGTAAGTAGATCAAGTTTTTTTGTACTTCTCTGATGAGGAAGTATAGTATCTGAAATAAATCATTCTCGCCAACTGTTCTTGACAAAACACTTTTGTCTTTCATTTACTGATTACTGTTATCAACGTTTGTCACAATCAGTCACTGCCATTGTCGAGTCTATTAGTAGAAATATACTTCAAATTACATTTTTGTTCTTATATAGACTTTATATTATTTTCAGAGGCCAAAAATATTTCTAAGTTGCATAGATTTCATTCATTGCAACTGTTGTCTTAACGCTGTCAACATCGATATTTTGTTTTGTTATTTATTACACACATATAATACCCCCTTTTTATTTCAGCGTACATTGAATAAGCAAATATATTATAATTTAATATATATTTTAACTTGAACCTTGTTTTTAAATCTAGGAAATTGCTCTGTATAATTCCTTTTTTTTCCATATTCATCTTAAATGAGTTCATAATTTATGAAAAATTCGCTAGCCATTTACGACCATATTCTTCACTCTAGAAATGAGACCTCAATAATATTATTACATAATAGAAGAAAAGGATATATTTTGAATCGTCGTTTTCTATAACAGTACGTATATGCGACATGGTAATGTACGGCAAAAGTAATCAGTGAATTGCTCTGTCGAAACTTTATAATATTCATTTTTTTGCTAATGTAATTCCATTATGTCGTTATTGATTTCCTCAGAACATTTAACAAGACCACATGGGGTAAATGATACAAAACTGTCATACCAAGCAGTGTATCTGTGTATTATCCGATGAAAGTGAAAGGAGAAATTCAAAAACGTAATCAACTAATTATCTAGGATATTCTTTATTTCATTTGAGAAAAATGAATCATTGTTACATTAGAGGAAATTTTTATTTATCAATAAAATTAACCACTTGACCAATACTTTGGTATAAATCACGGCATTTTTTTCACCTCTCTCATTAGTATTGCATCATCTTATTGTCTTAAAGCTACAACACAAGAACTAAATTATAAAAAAAAAACACTCAGCACATGTCAATAGGCGGCAAAAACCAAAAATGTTTCTAGACATATTTTTAACCATAAAGCTTTACGTATAAACTAAAATTATTACAGTTTACAACATAAAAAAGTATGATTGCTAGTCAGAAATTTGTATTTATATATACAATGATGATCAAGTTTATTGCGTGTCTTAAAAGTAGACAAAGATTTTTGTACTTTTTAGAAGAGAAAATAGACTGAAATATATCGTTCTTGCCACCTCTTCTCCTTGACAAAACATTTGTGTCTTTTAATTGCTGATTACTGTTATCAACGTGTCACACCATCAGTCACTCCCACTGTCGAGGCAATTAGTTGAAAGATACATGGAAGTACATTTTTGGTTCTCATATAGTTTAACAGAATTTTAGTTGCCCAAAATGTTTCTTAGCTGCGTTGATTGTATTCGATATAAACTGTTCTATTTATCATTATGCGTATTTGTTAAATATTTACTGCCGGTCCCTTTGTTTCGGCGTTCAATGAATTAGCGAGGCTATAAGTATGCACTTCGTTAGTTTTCAAATCTTAGACTATTGAATTACTCTTTATGCGTATATCCTTAAATTACATGTCCATTTCGAAAGATTTTTTAACTCATGTACTTTCAATTGTTTTGAATACTGCATTCACATGCAATTCACACAAGCGTAAAATAAAAAAAAGATTATAATAAGACATTGTGAGCCTGTTTTTAAAAACAAAAAAAATGATCTTTCTAACAATAGGTGATAATTTATAGCCCAGAAATTTCTGAACCACCTGTTTCAAGATAAATTGTCCTAGTACTGTTTATAGCATAATATATCTTGCTCTTGCACCCTAACACTTCAATCATTTTTATCGGTGAATATAATTAAAGTAGATATTTTTATTGAAAACCTATAGGTTGAGACATCTTTGTAAATATATTCTATAATTAAGCTGGCATGACTTACTTTTGGCAAGTAACAATATACACTTCTGTCATAAAATGTTAATTCGTATGATAAAAGTGTATGCGATTGTTACATATGTATGTTGTATGTCAAATACCAAAATACATTCGCTTTTCTTTTGAAAAAAAAAATTACCCCCCCCCCCCCCGAAAACAATGAAAAAGAAAAGAAAATTATAGAAAACTTATGCATATTTAAAATAGCTTGTATTTCTTTTTATAAATGGTGATATCTGATCAAGCTTAGACAACTTTTTCTGATTTTGGTGCATTTTAGGATTCCATGCTCTTCTTTTTTCCAATTAGATTGAATTTAGTTTTAATATTTAAATATGTCTTTCGGAAAGATCATCTATAGGAAGTACTACAATCCTAACGAGATACTTTAGTTATAATAAACACATCGTATTTAGTGCTGATTCCCCTAACTTTCACATAATATGATATTGAAACTCACTCTTTCGGTATATTCTTTCTCGAACATCACGTGTATTTGTAATTAAGCATGCTTCTTGCTATTTCTAAAAAGGTTATTTCCTGACACATAGGGAAATGGTGTGATAACATCCATATCAATACATACATTGAAAATTACGGCAAATTGAGCTCCTCATAAATTGTTAAAAACATCAGTACGAAGGTTATGAAGGCATTAGTTTTACCTTTAATGCCAATGTCACTTTAACAGGAAATGTTGCATATAATACACCTAATTAAGTCATTATCATTCAAACTAGAAATAATTCTCATATTACCTGTCATTAAAGATCCTGTTACTTTTTGTTATGGTTTTATATCATGAATATAATGTTCAAATGATGATTTATCAATATTGTAAGTTCTAAAAAGCATTATTTGTAAAGATATTACCAAATTTACATTTTATGTTAATTAAGGAAGGTAATTAGAAATTTATATTCCATAAATTCTACGTCAAATTTTTCAAAAAGAAATGAATGCATTTATTTTAATGATTACATATAATGTGGACAAATATTTGCAGTTCATTATTTACAAATTCTTCGATGTTTGCAAATTGTTTTAGAAGCATAATTATATACTGTAACATATATATAAATTTCACTTAAATGTTGTAACAACCTTAAGTACAAAATACAGGAGCTTTAATATATTATATTTAGTCATTAAACCCATTTGACGTTTGAATAACCTTTAGGAATTATCAAATTAATATAATACTACAAAGCAACCACAAACGGTCTCCGTTGCATAATCTTACATATAAGGCTGTTGTATTATGTATTATAAACTCGTTGAACAGTCAAACAAAGTCATATCTGAACATATTTTTAACATATTGATGCATTTATAGACAATTGTGGCTTGCAAAGTATCTTGGCTCTCCTTTAAGCGTCTCACAGGCCAACTATATCTATAGGAACTTCTCACATTTATGTTTATACAAATGCTCCATCCAGAACATTACGGAAACGTATACTGACCCCCCTTATATTCTTCAAAATGAAGAATAAAACAGTTTTTCCAAGAGAGTTATATCGTTAAAGATATATATATTGCTTAAGTTTATCGATTATTTATAAAAACATATTTGTAACTCACAACAGGAGTAATATTAATTACGTTGAAAATTAAACAACATGGGTATTTTAATCTAATTTTAAACACGTGCTCTTATAACTAAATTACAACGTCATATTATTTAATTCTTTGAAAAGATAATCATATAAAATGAATCCGATTATATAGTTAAGAAATTTATAATTTGAGTTTGTTAGAGATTTAAATATATGTTTCAAAATAACCCTGAAAGTATTTATGTTATAAATAATTGCAAACATAATTTTACGAGCATCGTCATTCCTTTTCTGTCGTTTGTACTGCAATGATGGCAAATCGGTATGGGGTAAGTCTGTTGTTTCTACTGATGTAACCATTGTGTACCATTTTATGTCTGCAATAACTTTTGAAGCGACTGTTTTGGAAAGGCTAGAATAAAAAGAGTTAAAATTGATAATGTCGGATATGTTGTATCTAATAACGAGTTTTTCTATCCCAATTATCTTATTGAATTGAGGTGAGAAACATCACCCTGACATATTTAAGGAATGAATAGTATCCATGTCAGTATCTTGCTTTTAATGCGTATATGGACTTTTGCAAGTATTATGTTAACAATTTAAGTTGTTTTTCTAGAACAGTATGACCATATTTGACATTATAGCCAAATTTTGTCAATCTGAAAACATATATGTATGATCTGATTTATTCTTTATCATTGGCAATACTTGTAGGATTTCTTACTGATTTTCCTCAATGATAACATATCTCATCCATTTTTAAAATAAACAAATCTAAACGAAAAATGATTTAACTTCAACGAAGATAATTTCATAAATAAGACGAGACGTTTTATTGTGCAGAGCTATAATAACTGAAACACTGATAAGAATTCGTAACGGCCACTACTTAAATCATGTTGAATAGATGCGTATAGAATACGTCAAATAGTTATTATCTTTTTTTTCCAGAATTTTCAACTCGATGAGCACAGTATTACAGAGCTGATAAAGCACTACCATCGGTATATGTATACAGACTATGACATTCGTCTTTTTTTCCTCCTCCGACATAATGTACATTTAAGTGTGAGCAAACTCAGACGTATCAAACGTAAATTAGGTTTACGGCGAAACAACATTGAAGATACATACGAAGAAATAATACCTGCTATACAAGCAATTTTGCAAAACGGATACAATGACTGGGGATATAAGTCCATCTGGCGTCTACTTAATGTTTCTGTGGGTATACGCGCTACACAAGAAACAGTTCGGCGAATTTTAAATCTTTTGGATCCAGAAGGAGTGGAACTTCGGGCAAGAAATTGTCTAAGAAGAAGACTTTATAAGAACAAAGGTCCAGGCTATATGGTACACATTGATGGGTATGATAAATTAAAGCCATTTGGATTTTCGATACATGGATGTGTAGATGGATTTTCAAGAAAAGTACTTTGGTTGCAAGTGTTAAGGTCAAATAAAAATCCATATGTAGTGTCTAAATGTTATTTTGATTATTTGATCCGATTTCAGCGTTTGCCAAAGATTATTCGTTGCGATGGTGGAACAGAAAATGTTGTCATTTGTGATGTTCACGCGGCATTGAGAAACAGCGCTAATGGAGAGTCAGAAAATTTGTCAGTGATAGTTGGAAGATCAACCAACAATCAACGAATCGAAATGTTTTGGGGATTACTAAAGAAGGGTTTTACACAGCACTGGAGAAATTTCTTCCAGGATATGCAAGATTCTGGTTTGCTTAACATGGCAAGAGAGGACGACATAGAAATACTTCGTTTATGGTTTACCCCTGTCATACAGCATCATTTAGACATATTCGCGGAGAACTGGAATAATCATAGGATACGTTCACAGAGAGATTCTGAACGTTTCACGGGTGCTGTTCCAGATGTTCTTTACTATCAACCGGAACGTTTTGGTGTAAAGGATTGTACTTTACCTCTGCCATTCAATGACGATGATTTACTACACCTGTCAACACACTTTAGTGTCTCAGAACCTCGGTATATGTGTACCGAAGAGTTCTTTGAAAGGTTTCTTAGAGCGAGCAGATTAGATGAAGAAAACCTTGAATTCCCTGTCGATAAAAAGGATGCCTTAGAATTATATACTCACACAAAACAAATAATGACAATTTAAAAAAGAATGCTTTTTGCTTTGTAAGGATGCAAATATGTTATTTCTTTGAAGAAAACAACATTTTATGTTTCGAAAGATGCAGATATTTTTATCAATTATTAATGCTATACTTGAAATTTCTTGACTTTCAAACAACGTTTGTGCTTGTAACATAAAGTGTTTTGCTAATTGAAATTAAATTGGTTGACCATTTTGTATGGTTAACGTTTTGCTAGAATAAAGCGAGTTAACGTTTCTTTGCTTTTTGTCAGTTTTCTGCATTTAAGAAAATATGCTAAAATAAATTTTCAGGACAACTGTTTTTAGATTTATTCTATGAAAATGTTTTAGGTTGATCTTACTTTAAATTTTGCGTAGTATATCGCCAGTTTCTGCTTAGAAGAACATCGTATCCTGATTTTAATGAAAAATCCATCATAAAATGTTATTGCTAAAAAACTTATTAAATTATCTATTTTGAACGCAGATTACTACAGCAACAACAAATTGTAATTGTTTCATTACCTTAACCACAATACTAAGAAATATTACATTTTTCTGATTTTATACGACCTCTTAGAATTACCCAAATACTCCGCTTTACAATTTAAGAAATCCGAGGATTGAGGTGAAAATAAAGCAGCCTCAAACGTCAGTGTATAATCATTATATCTGAATTCCGTCCCATCCAAAAGCAATAGTGTCGGGCTCCATTGATATCAGAAAATACATTGTACACCTGCCCAATAAGAAGTAGCTGGCTGAATTTAAGTGGTTTTGACCTAAATACAAGCACTATGACCAATATATATGCTAGCTAACACCCACAATTTCTACCAACAGTAGTGATAACGTTCACTACATATAGAAGCAAAACTATGTAAAATAACAATGATAATCGTCATGGCCATGTGACAAATGAGTTATATAAGGCAACATACATACGTAAACCTCTTATGTTTTGGCAAGTTTTGGTGTAAGCTGTGTCAAGATAATACGAGGGATGTCCGGAAAGTTCATATACTTTTTAATTTTTTATTGTATAACAATACATACGTTGTACAAATTTTGTCAGCAAAAATATACATATCTAGCAAACACATTTACCAAAAATTACTGAATTGTGACTTACGTTTGTATTTTTACAGTATTTACATACAACATATATACATCGTCATGGAGCACTTTGACAACGTCAACGGCGTCAATATAACTTCATGTTTATCTACTATTCAATTTCTTCCGATTTAAACAGCCATGGAACCTGTCTGGCGTATAATTTATACATGTTATGTTTCCTTGCTATTACTTTATGAATTTCATATACTACTTTTAAAAAAAACAACAAAGGTGTCACTGGTTCCCATACAGTGTGTGAGATGTCTGTCTTTTTCAAGGAGTGTTGTAACGCAATCTGCGACATTTCGGCCATGCTACTTTTGGTCACCTCATATGTTTCTTATACAAAATACTGTCATTACCGCTTCTTAATAGTGTTTGACAATTAAACGCAAGTTTCCCTGAACAATTTATGGTTGATTTTGTTTTTAAAGAAAATATTATAATCTCAATTGGTGCCATTATTAGCGTTGCTGTGAAGTTAAATAACATTACGTTGCTCCGTCCTTGAATTTGACGTCATTTTTGCAACACAAAACTTACGCAACTTCATTGCCTATAATCGTCGTTAACAAGTTGTTTCCTAGCGTATGACGTCGTTATTTGCACTTAATATCAAGCAATAGTACCCTTTGATGTCACAGTATTAAAACAAGAGTTTGCGTTAAAATTACAACTTTTAGCAACTTTTTATTCGAGTAGCTATTGTCATGAAATCAAAGTGCTCCGTGATTCGTTGATCATGTTGCCATGGTGATTGGCGATTTGCGAATACAACTTTTATTAAGTTTTTTAATTTAGAAATTTGTAGCAGAATAAATACTAAAGCAAAATATTTACTCATCATATTGATATGACTGCTTATAATAATTTTATAGCCTTGTCTACGAACTTTCCGGACAGCCCTCGTACATCACACGCATACAATCTATGTACAGCGTACGCTGTATATGGTGCAACAGTGCTAGGTTTTGTTGTCTATTCATCATTATGTGTACTGAGAAAACTATATTTGAATTTCTAAATTATTTAATTATGAACAAAAACAGCTCAATATTTTTATACAGAATTAGGACTACGAGAATGAATTTTCTGTTTGTCTGTAATATACTAATTTACAGCTAAATGTGAATTTCTTTTATGGTTAAAGGAACTCAAACGAGGTCGAATAGCCTAAAATAATAAATTTTGAATTTTTTTCTTAAATCAACTGGTACGTTTAAATTTGAAACCAAGCAATAGATGATATATATTTATACACGGCATCTAATTTGTTATTAATTTTTATGCGATTTTTGGCCGATTTAAGTAAAAAGCGTTTAAACGGTTTTCGTTTGTTTGGGTCGTCAGACCAAACAAATAATGGTAGCGAAATTTCAGAGCCTGATGTTCTTATTTGCAAATGCCGAAAGTAGTCCAAACTTCTCGAAGCGGTTTCTTCCTTTCAAATGTACATTAACGCCGACAAATTCAGGGGAGGTCACTGCGTATAGATTGTCAAATCTAACAAACTGGTTTATAATCTCACAACCTTCACCCTTCTGACATTCTGAGACCAAAACGAATTCATCGCCTTCTGTGCTTTGATTCATTTATTGCGCCAATTTGCACAATAAAATTGATTATTTCTGAGAAACTGAGTGAGCGAACGATCTGAAATTTTGTACATGAGTTATTGGTTTAGACATACATCTAGTTATACTAAAGTCTTGAAAAAAATAATTCCTGTCCTTTCGCGGAGTCCCTTTAACAACTTTGCAGAAGTATTGCTTTATCTGACGTCCATTTTCCCTTAATGGAGTTTGGTTAAAACGTACATGCTAACTGTTGTTGACTTACATTGAACATACAAACGACCGAATTGAAATTTGTGGTGGGGCAAAAAAACAAACCGTTCAGGTTAAGAGTATTTTAATGGTTTAGCACAGATGTTTGAACAAACCGTAAAAAATTAGATTAAAATTAAAGCGATCAATAAAAAAATCAAAAATCAATATAAATACAATGGTCAAATAGAGAAGGTGTTTTATTGAACAACGAAATTCTCTTAATGAAAGTTGCTGAATTTGTTCAAACATTTTATTTCCATCGGTTTCAAATATAAACAAAAGTCTACATAAATGTGAACTTAAATTTATGTAGACTTTTGTTTCTGTGCAACCTGTATATCAATTTGTGAATGTGGACGCGCAGACAGACAGACATGCCGACGTTATAGAAAATTATTTTCTACTTGCAATATTTTAAAGGATTGCTGATTCATACATAGAGGATATATAAGTATTTGCTCTAAATACAGGATTTATTTTCATCGAGTGGTATGAAAATAGATATTTCATGAGTGACGGTAGCCACGAGTGAAATATGATAATTTCATACCACAAGATGAAAACATATCCTGTATTTTTAGAAGAAAAAAACTTGAATTTTCTGTTTATTATATACATTGTTTTTTATTTTGACATAACTATTTAAAAGAATTTCCGTGAAATTTTGTGAACTGCCAAAATTTATAAGAAAGTAGTCTGGCAAGACACAAGTGAAAATACGAGAAATATGTTTCACTGCAGTGAATAATAAATTTTTATGCATTTTATTTCATCAATATTTCTCAATATTTCATTTATAAGTATATAATAAGTGTTTTTATATTATGATTATTGACATCCTTGTAGATTAACAATGTTCTGGCGGCCGCTAAAATATTCTACAGACGGATAAAAACTGCTTATGTTAAAATGTTCAGTGATCAGTGATTAGGGAGTTTAGTATGCCTCAACACCACAAGTAACTCAGTATCGGTTGACTATATAAATGTATTGTTTCTGGAGTGACACATGTTCACGTATACCACAAAAATAGAGATGAGAAATGTGAACGCGAACAAAAATGTCATAGAAAATGTGACAAATGTCACATTTATCGACGTGTGACATGTTGTCCCCTTTAATTGTGCTCCTACATAGAATTAAGGGCATCTAGCTTCATAAAGACAAGTGAGATCGCACACAAGTATTTAACGGAGTGAAGCCACAGACAATATACGAGGCTGGAAGGGAGGTCACTATAATGCTATGCAGATAAAGTATATTGTACTATTTATCATATTATACCGCACTTCACTAGAGAATGATAGTAAAACTTCAAGGATTAAAAGAAAGCATAAACTTTATTTAAAGTTTAGAATTAGAGCCTAGTAGTTAAACGCAGGTACTAAAAACTGTGGCAGTCTGTTTATATAATGCGCATATTGTAAAAACTTTCTTTTACTTTTTTACCGCTACATTTTAAAGGTCCGATAAAAAATATTGTGCCAGTGCAATACACGATATAAGCACAGCACTAAATCAAAGTGCTGAGAGCACTGGATGCGACGAACAAGAAAAAAGAATTGCGTAAATGCTGTCACGAAGGGCCAAACACTTGTCAAATTCAATGTCACACTTTATAAATTGTTAAATGACCCCTCGAAATGGTCGCAAGGTCATGATTTTGTAGATTTATGTTGCACCAAGAATTTTTTTAATTAACTTAGGGCTTTTAAGGGACCCCGCTGCGTTTTTTTTTTTGTTTTTTTTTGTTTTTTTTTTTGACATGATGGGACTGATAATATTTTTTCCAGATTAATATACCATTTGGTGTGGGTTTAGACCAATAGTCATTTTACCAAATTTCAGGTCATTCGCGCACTTTGTTTTTCGTTTAAACTTCGTTTAAATATATAGAATTTATACAGAAATTCATGCAGGGACTTTTAGAAATGCCATTTTAGCGTGAGATAATTTTGATATTTTTGTAATTAATTTGTTTGAGTATCCCTTTAATTCAATACAATTCAATACAAGAGTTTTATTGGCCTTGGAAAGTGACATCCAATTATAATCTCAAGACATGTATTACCTTTTACCAGAATTTTTTTTTCTTTCGAATATTGATTAAATGATTAAATAGATAAATACAGAATCCCTAAAGAAAGCCCAACACGGCAAAATTGAAAATGTTGCAGGCTCGGTTTAATTGAGCCTGTTCATGGACGGTACTGAAAAGTGCAAGTTACCGTCCACGCCCCCTAGCACCGGCTTAAGCAGAATTCAACATTTAAACATGAAATAGTAAAATTTTGTATTTAGAAACATCTGCAGATGTGTTCATACGGCGGTTATCATGGAACCTTTAATGTG